CACCACGCTGAATTTCCCCGCTTCCGCATTCCCCAGCTGATCGTGCAACGCAAAAGCCGCTTCATGCTCCCGCTTGGCTTGCAGGACAGATGGAGAGAATTACTCTTTTCTGTTGATATATATGTGCCCATATTTTGGTGTGATTTTTCTATTAAGGAGAGAGTAAGGTTAATGGAGAATCGAGGCCACCCATAACTGATTTAGTCTCAGACAGGTATTGGTCTGTCAGATTTTTTTGCGTAGTTATCTGGGAAAAATGCATATCCTGCCCCTCGAATCGCCACCCTCATTAGTCTTAACGGACTTGAGGGTGTGACGGCCACTTTGCTTACTTTTGTGACGAACCTATAGGACAACTAAAGAACCCCATAGAGATTCAAGTTCGGGAGCTGTTTGAGCAGTGCGAATTACGGCAAACAGTATCAAAGTAATCTTGATAAGCAAACACTGCCAAATCAACGCAATTAAATCTCAGCACACAAAACCAGAGCGGGTATGAAAATTAAGTGCGTGATGATAAAAATGGTGAAGTACAGCCTGAAATGAATGAATTGAAGGATAGAGTGGGACACAAGATATGCAACAACCTGGTAGAGCGTGAGTACTAACAAATAAACCGATGCACATCTTCAGCTGCCGGTAGGAATTTCAACGACAATACACCACAGAAGTTTGGAAGCACGGATTTTCAAACAACCCACCAAAATTCAAATACAGGGTTTCGAATAAAACAGCTGAAATCCATGGTTTCCTACCTTTGTAGGCAGCAATGGAAAGCAAGGAAAAATGTGTATCACAGCTTGATTTATTCACAAGTCTGCGAAGGCTGGATAGATAGACCAGAAGAACAATCAAAACATACATTCGTATGTTCCAGAATATGACAAGGACGAGGAGCTGATGAACGACTGAAACCATAAATGGCAACTACACACCAAATACTGCACGGATAACTACAAAAGAGAAGCGGAAAAATCAAATTGTTGGCCCATGGAAATATGAGTTCCTCTCTTGGCGTTAAGGATTGAGGGTCTTCAGTTTGCACAAACTGAACAGAGGAAAGGATAAATCATCTGTCGGTTTGGATACACCTAGGGGTATCTGGGGAGGTAAGACCACAGTTCATCGAAGTCAGCGAGGTTAGCTGGATCCACAAATAGGTTCCCTATCGAAAGCGAGGTGCAGACTGGCACATACGAGTTCGCTTAGAAACACCGCCCACCGGCCACCGAACTCATCCTTCTTGATCGCGGTCGCAACGGCCGGTTGGTAACGTTCCGGTAACCTGGAAATTCAAAGACTGGGGGATGCAGCGTTTGCATAAATAGGCCTTTTAAAAGACAGGTCACTGCAATCAAGGCAGGTGACGATATCAACGGGAATCAACGTATTGGAATTGTGAAACCGGACCCACTGAAGGGGCTGGTTGGAAAACAACCGAGATACTGTGAATTCCATTGTTACCCACGCCATAAATGGGAATCTCTCTAAAGGGACCACTTCCAAAGACCCAACCATAGATTAATGGTCCTTCGAGTAAAACAGAGCGTGTAAAGCAGCACTAATAAGCTCCAGCAACCTCGGTTCATTCCACACTTTGTATTCAACGTCGATCAAAGACGTACCCGTATGGTTCTAGAACCTCTGCAGCGCAGCACTATCAGGAAGAAGCTTATACCGACTTACCGACGCTCAAACCGATACAAACAGTGCGGATGTTCACGTTTCTCATCATGGAAAATGCACTCAAACACGAAACTATTGTGTGGTTTAAAAATCCGCGGACGCACTCATATTTGCATGTCTAGGATGATCGGGTGTTCGCTGGTGGATGATGGGATTAGACCAAGGTCAGACAGTATCGATTGCAAACGCTTCAGTAGTTACTCTAAACATCGTATCCGGATGTAAACTGGCCTGCCCGCAATTTTTTTTCGGGGGGGGGGGGTTTTGGAACATTCACACATTATGTCTAGGCTTACACAGCAAATCATGTCACGGTACGACTGCACGACGCAAACAGATTAGAATTTCGGTCATTTGAGAGCGTGCAATAAAAACTCGGTTAGTATTTCACCAGAAACTCAGGAGAATGTAACAGACGAATCAATCAGGGCTATTTAAACTGGTCCGGAAACTAACCAGTCTCAAACATCGGCGAGAAAGATCTACTAAGAATCTGACGGAATGACAGTCCAGACAAAGAAATGGCTACGAAAAACGCCCTGTTGATAAGATATCTTATCGTTATATTACTTTTCCGGCCAAATTTCTAGACTCCATTTAACACGCTTAAAATGCGTGGATGTGTTTCCTGATGTACATAAATTGACAAAGGTGTCAATAAGCAATACTTTACAGCAGTACACCTGGAACAGGATGAGCTCGGTAGAAATCCTACATTCGATGGTATGCGCGCATGAAAAGATACTATTTTTGGCTTAAAAGCACCCATAATAAAACGAACGCTCAGTATGTAAGAAACCCGTTCCACATATAGGCAAACACTGTCTTTATTTTTCCCCAAGTGCGGTCATTATACGAGGTCTGGGGGATTCGTACTTCTGACCACCTATTCCCATCTAGCATAAAATGACATCTATCAAGGAAAACTTCACCCACGGTCAAGGACACCTAAAAAGTTTAAAGATAAGTAGAAAATACCGCATAACATCTATCCAGTAACAGTGCGGTGAGTTCACATTATACACCCACCAGGAAAAAACCGTCAGGGAGATATATTGGATCCGTTTAGAGCTTTTCTCAGTCCGTCCACAGAGATTTCGGGACATAGCTGTATATAGCCAATACTTGTACCAGAGTCTGTAGTTCCACACTAGATGTCCAAAAAGATAGCAAAAATGCGCTATTCATTGCTGGGGAGTATACTCGAGACGGAACATCACCCTTAAGTTACAACGTGAAATTAAATTCCACCGTAGACCGACGGGATCTCCAGAGTTCAAGTTCACCATCACCATAGACATCGTAACATCAGCGTTCAGAACACGCTTAGAATCCATGATTTATTTGAAAGTGACTGAGGAAGGGACCTAAAGCTAGTACTCCACAATCATTCCGGGCTCAGTGGTTAGGGTACGAATTAACTGACCGAAAGGTCGGTGGTTCGAACCCGAACCCTGCCTAAGCTTGGGCAACACAGCAGTATCCCAGCCCTCATGATTCCATCTGGCGGCATGAAAGTTAGGCACCGAAAGGGTGCTACAGCTTAACTGATTTACAGTGATTTCCAACCCTTGCACATTCTGCCGCAGCAGCCTCTGCATCGCCAGAATTGCGCAGCCGGAAGCGAGTGCGTTGCATGCATCTAGAATTCTTGTTTCCGATACACATCAATCCAGTGAGAGCAAGCGTAGGTTGTTGTCCTGCTTGCTTGAACTTACGAACAATGAAAGCAGTCAGACTAGGCGTCGAAGCTTAAAGGTTGATTTCGAGCTGCCTGATGATTTCAGCGCCGGATGACGCGCAGATTTGCTTGCAAAACCGATGCAGGACGAACGGAGTCATCAGTCTCAACTGACGGGCGTAAAAGGAGTCAGTAAGGGGGTGGGGAATGGAGGAGAAAAAGTATCCGAAAGAGAATGAGGGGAGGTACCAGTATTAGCATGTTTTTGCTTACCCGCCCTGCAGTACGCAATAAGTGAAGCGACCCAGCTAATGGCACCGCGAGACGGCCGATGAAGTATGAGTTCATTCGTGTGTGCAATTCACGGTAGAAGAGAGTTTAGGGGAAGTTTCCCAACAGACCTCTGATGAAAGTAACATACAATACGCATGCTAACTGACGAACTTGGAACAGAGCAGCTACTCCGAAATAAGCACTCACTTCGCGTGTTTGAGCATCCCTTCTTCACTGACTTGTACCGATGAGAAAGGGTCACCAGAAACGGATTGCCGAGAAAGTGGTCCTTGCTCCTGGACAGCAGCAACAGCGCTGGATGGACTGAAGTGAATATTTGTCGTGTTCAATTCCGATTCCCCCGGCGAAACAGATGTACTTGTCGCAACTGCGCTTGGCAACGAAGATTTGATACGAGATTCTACTACAGAACCCTACAGAAAACAAAAAAGTCTTGGGATCACGAACATGCAATCATGTAAAGTAATACAAAGTTGGTCGGGACAATAAATGCGATAGAACACTCACCGTCAGTATGGGCGATAGCGAAGGTGTAAAAAGAATGCTGACATTCGAGTAAATGTCCTCTGTGTAGATATTCAAGACGTGTTGCAAAACACCCAGTCTGTCCAAGTTAAACATGACTGCCGTTCAAACTGTGGATAGTGAAAACATTCTTTAAGACTCAACGCATTGCTTCACATTTCATCACGCTGCAACAGACTAGTTACCTATGCGACTGTGATTGCACTAAATCGTACAGGTGAAGACGACTTATTGGACTGGATCCTAGTAAACGGGAAAACATTCTTAAGACTCAACGCATTGCTTCACATTTCATCACGCTGCAACAGACTAGTTACCTATGCGACTGTGATTGCACTAAATCGTAAAGGTGAAGACGACTTATTGGACTGGATCCTAGTAAACGGTCGTCTTTGTACTGTGAGGTGGTCCGGCTCAATTAAGATCAATGTAATCCGATGCGGTAAACAATGGTTATTTGTCGTATCGGTATACACCCCGACAGACGGCAGTAATGAGACTGAAAATGACAGGGTTTATCGAGATCAGTCACGACTACTTCGGTCAGCAAGAAGAATGAGTGGTGTGAATGCCCAAGTTAGCCGACCAATTGCAGAAGAAGCACATGATCAGTGTACTGAGAATGGAGCTGGGACTACTTCAGTGAGTTGATCATCGCTTGTTCTTGGCCAGTACGAACTTGAAACACAAACGTTCATATTGAGTTAATTGGAGGCCACCACCCGCAAGAAAGTCATGGACTCAATTGGACCAAGTGGCTATCAGTAACCGACAGTCTCAATTAAAGATTGCCGTTCCTTCTGGGGGTATGTAACTTGCCTCTGATCATGCCACTGTGCGAGCCCATTTATCACTTCGCTTTCCATCAGCACTACGTGTGCCAATGCAGAGCAGTTCCATGCATCAACTTCGACAAGTTTCAGTCGCTCAAATGTATCCAGCTGAACTGGTTAAGAAGCTGCTGGAAACGTAGTCATATGGTGACAAACATTGCTTGGAGGTTGAATGAAAGCGAGCGAAAGAGGCTTCGCTCTCCGATTTTAGAACCGTTTGTCCAAGCGATCCAATTCGACTAAATCAACCGTGGATATAGTACCTGTTGGTCGTCGTCTTGAGCGACGGCCGAATACTCTTAAGAACAGTTCAGCTGGTCTCGTTCAACACAACCGCTGCAAGAACCCAACGGGCCTGAATGGAACATTGACAACAGCCCAAAAAAAACCGAACCTTAGTAATAGATATCAGGCCTCAAGCACGACAAAGCGAATGGCACAGATGGCCTACACCCCGTACTCTTTAAAGGTGACGAGATCCAGCTGAGAAGTCTGATAACCATACTGCAGAAGATTTGGAACGAAAACAGAATGCCGGTTGAATGGAGAATCCCGGCAACCAACCCAGGCTTCAAAAAAGGACGCAAGAATATCATGCAAAAATCATCGCGGCATCAGCCTGGTATCCGTCGCATCCAGGGAGCTCTCTGGCATTGTTTTGCGCAGATTGATTATCGAGAGAGACAGATTCATGAAAACCAAGGTCGGCTTCACCTTGGTCGAGGATGCATTGACCATAGCTTTGGGACAAGTTCTGACCAACGTCCCACGTTGGTCACTTTTCTTGATTCGAAGGCTGCTTTTGACTCTGTCGATCGTCAGAAACTTAGGCGGTGTCTGGCTATCAAGTGTTCATTCCAAATTTATATCCCTGAGCACTCCTGCAGACTGTATACGTCTAGATTTCACCTGAGTTCACCAAGTCCAGTGGTGTAAGACAAGGCTGCCCTCCCTCACCTTTCCTCTTCAACTTTGCCATTGATGTGCTGCTCGAAGCTTATCTGCCCGCTTCTGAAATATCGGGAGCCGAAATGCTCCCGAGATGTTCCCTTACAGACACTGAGTATGCAGACGACATTGCTCTCCTTGGTTCAGATCTTTCCAAAACTCAAAAAATTTTAAGTAACCTAAATAACTCTGCCGCATGGTTTAGCATGCGCTTTACACTGCAAAAAACGAAGTGCTGCTACAAGATTGTGTGACCAAACCCAAACCTCATTCTTGCAGACGAGTCAAATTTGTTTACCTGGGCACTATCCAGTGGACTGGCTGGAAATGAGATTACTTCTCAGATCGAAAAAGCCACAGCAGCTTCCGCCAACCTGACACATACGGCGCCGATGTGACGCCGATTTGTCTGTCAAGGTCAGAGTGTACACTACGGTAGTGCGATCTATACTGCTTTATGGATCAGAAACAGGACCTCTACGCGCAGATGACATTCGAGAGATGTCAGTGGTTGAACACCAGCGCCTCCAAAGCACTTTTTGTGTCTGATGGTAACATCAGATTAGTAATGCTGACGATCCCGAGGAGAAAGAATTCTCCTGCAATACGTGAATTACCCACGCTTCATAGGTTACGGCTAGTCAGGATATGAATTCCGCATGCCAGAAGGCCGTCTACCTCACAGAGCGCATTTTGCCCGGCCCTGTGCTGAGTGGAAGCGACCGGAAAATGGACAGTTTGTGCCTGGAAACAAAGTATGAAAACGCTGACCAGAAAACCTAGTCGGGTCGACAAGTGCCGTTTCCCTGGATATGGACCCGGGGACACAACTCACCAATGGTTAATGATACTGACAGAAATGGCTTAATCACTCAGTCAGTGGTACTCGTGCATCAAAGGTATCTGTTCCAATGGATAGCTACCCACTTCCCAAACTAACCAAACATGCTACCGCCACGACGGCTTGATTGTACTTCTCGCTCTCGCACTTACCAGAAACAGTGGCAGAAACAAATGTACCCGTGGAACGCGGTTTATAGCTGATAAATTGAAATTCGAATATTGATTCGAAGCCTCAGAGTTGTCATCTGTTGGAGCGCGCGCTGACACAACAAACAAACACCGTTTATTACGTCAACACGCATTCATCCTTATTGAACAGCCAACCTAACAGCGCATTCAGCCCTATGGCTAAGCACGACCTCCACACCGTAGATACCCCGAGACATTGCGTTATGATCATAAGATAACTGATGAGTGAAGTGCGAGAAGTCTCGTTCGTCCCGAGTGACTCGAGATGTATGACCGAACAGGGATCTTGTGCGCATGTTTCGAAGACACAACATGCATCGATAGAGGGAGGGAACAAAGTCTAAACAAAAACTACCTGTTCCCCAGTTTGAGAAAGAGTACGGACATTGAAAGCCGCAATGTGGAACAGATCCCTTGAATTTAATGAGGGTTTATTTTGATTTATTTTACTGGGCAGAACGTTCGATACGGAGTAACAGTTGGGTGATTGACAGCCAAACGAACCGGAAAGACTTGAGTGGGGGACGTGTTGAGAGGAGCCAGTGAACGAGGAGCTGTAAGGTCGGATGATTACTTCCGCTTATTCAAAGGAGACTTGGTTAATGTACCCCACCTTGAGCCGTTGATTCGAAAGTCCGATCCACTAGGCAGTGGGAGAATGTAGGGCTTTGTTTGAGGACCCTACCCCGAGCCTCTGACCCAAAAGTCTGAACCGCGAGGCAGCGGTTGTTAGGATTTACTTAGTGGAACTTTCCCGGAGCCAATCACTCAATAGTCTGATGCACTTGGCAACAGAGGACAGCCTGACCCGTGGATGCAGGGAGTAAGGCATTACTACCTCACTCTTAACGCGGCCGCGCACAACAGTATCAGACTCTGATTTTAATAGTATTTTTTCCACCGTATTGAATAATGCGCCGGCGGACACGGTCAACCGCTAGGCGGATTTTAGGGCTGACGTTTTCTAACCTGTTCTTCCTCGGGGGAAGTCAGCATCGCTGTTTGCATAACTGTGGATATGCTAGACGTCTGAAGAAAACTCCTTACTGCCTTCACACTCCGATCGCAGATGACAGTACAACTTTACCTCCAGGCCTCCTCGTATTAGGAAATCTCGGAATACTCGCACTCGCTGTTCTTCGTCCTGCTGGTCTCCGTTTGGTCTTCTGGCAGAGGTGAACGTATGGGAACTGTGTTCAATCCAGTTGTAGCTCGCAGGATTGTTGCAGTACATAAGGGCGACCACGACAACCAGTGATAGCTTTAGGTCGGGCTTCGTAGGCAAACCAGGCTTAATTATCCGGCAGATGTATCTCGCTGAGCTTTGGAGTTTTATTTCTTCGGTCTCGTTCAAGATTAGTTGGGCCGTATGAAAACGATTGCGAAAATCTAGCACAATGTTCCGAAAAATTCCAGTTACAGACATTCTTCAAAAGGTCACAGGATAGAGTTTGGCTATCGAGCAATCCGGGGGCTCACGCCGAACGTTGCACCAGGAAGAGGGTAGCTGCAACACGCCTGTACAAAATGTTCAAAGTAATCTTAAGAACTGGCTACATAAGCGTCAGACATAGGGTTATCTTTCAAAATAGACAATCGAAGGAGTAATAAGGTAACCTACCTGAGCGACTGCACTCCACCCTGGAGAAGATAAGTCACCCAACGTGTCAGTACGAGCTGCACTGATGCGTGTATGGACTGTGCACCCCATGTCTGGAGAAGTTGGTGATAGCGAACCTGTCTTCACTTGGATATCCTGGTTATGACTGTTCCTGCTGCTTAAAATGGCAACAGCTGAACTTTGTTGTGTTGTCATAGCGCCACACACCAATGAACTACTGAAGGAATTTTGTATACATCGGTTGGGGCGGCCAGTTGTACCCAAGATATCGCACATCGTTTCACATGGGGATAAATTATGACTCAGAGGTGTATCAGGGAGGCGGCTCCGATTCGTCACGGGACAACAAACATTGCGGGCACTTTCTTGTGATCTTGGTGGCCGCGAGATAACAAGCGGCAGTAGTCGTCGATGTGCTGAATATCGTGGGTGAATAGAATAAACACAGCGACTGTGTTGTGGAGCGACGGAGTTGTGTGAAGAAGGAGGATCAGTAGTTCCAACATCTGAAACGTATGGATACGCGTAGTGCTAGTCAGCCACACAGAGATCACACTCCGTAATAACGATTGTGTGCGAAAAAAAATGATACGGGGAGGGAACAACTGAAAAAGACTCAGTTGAGAACACATTTCACTTAAGCAATGCCTCACCATAAACCTTCCCCATCCGTACTGCTATGAGAAAATTTATCCCAGACGCATGAAAAGCAAGATTAACTTTCATCATCATGATTGTCAGCTGTAATAACCGTGTGCATGTCGTACAATGGTTGTAGCTGCCAGTTTCGTTCACCAATGATTCGGATATGTGGGGTAGGGAGCTGCGCACTGCAGGCGGGAGCTGATAAATTAGTGCGTAAATACAGCATTGTCACTAGACTGTTAAGCGGGAGATTGGTAAGGGAGCTATGCATTGAAGGCGATACCTCGGATGCATGAGCGTCATTGAAGGCGCGACTAAGCCATGTCTGACAATGTCTCCAATCACCGACCACCTGTACATAATAAAACTTTGAAATATTCCTCTTTCCTCGAGTGGGTTGCGATTAGTACAATGACAGGACACCATACAGGCCGTTATCGAGGTAGAGAGAGCTGTGCCTGATTGATACAGGATCCGGGTATCGCTGAGGTGGAGGGGGGTAGAAGTCAAATGCAAACCCTGAGCGCTGGCCGGGAGACGAGTGGGTGGACATCGACTGAAGATTGACGGATGGTCGATGCACTCAATACGCCTAGGCGACAATTCCGTGCAGCACGCGTTCCTGATCAGCCCAAACATAGAGCTGACAATACTGGGGGCAGGTTTGCTCAAGAGCACAGATTCCATGGTTGACCTAAAGCAGAGAATATTGCTGACAAAGTATGGCGCGGGAGGAGGTCCATAAAGAAATTCAAGAGCTGTTGAAAATGGCATAATTAGGAAAGCCAACAATGCGTACAACTTCCCGGTTGCCCAAGCCGAGGAAAGGAGCTTGGCTGAGGTAACCTTGAGCCCTTGACTCAAAAAGTCTCGGAGCCGATTAAATTCGATTGACATGGTGGGTTCCCGTTCGTCAATTGTAGTAACGGTATTTTTCTCAGCTTAGTTCTCGGCCTGAGCCTCCCAAGCGAGCGTTCACTCCAAAACAACCATCAAAGATGCACAGGGTATATTAACGCCCAAAACGAAGTCAGGAACACTTGTACGGCGCTTTATATACATAGCGCAGGTAAAAATAACTTTCTGGAAAATTTGACGCGTTCTGGATGCGCCTTGGCAACTGGCATTCGGCCAATACTGGGTCATGATTGGCTACTGGGTTCAGACTTTCGACCAATCCGATATCGACTTGATGCCAGACCGCCAAGCGTCCCGAATTTTTGGCCAATCTTGCGTGGGATGGACTTCTCGTCCGTAGCACCACCTGACTGCGAGCGGTAAAGAGGGGTCCGTGTGGAGTTCCGCCTGACAACAGCTGACTGATTTTTAGCACTCATTTGGGTGATCAGCTTGCACTGGACCCGGTGCATGTCGTACAATGGTTGTAGCTGCCAGTTTCGTTCACCAATGATTCGGATATGTGGGGTAGGGAGCTGCGCACTGCAGGCGGGAGCTGATAAATTAGTGCGTAAATACAGCATTGTCACTAGACTGTTAAGCGGGAGATTGGTAAGGGAGCTATGCATTGAAGGCGATACCTCGGATGCATGAGCGTCATTGAAGGCGCGACTAAGCCATGTCTGACAATGTCTCCAATCACCGACCACCTGTACATAATAAAACTTTGAAATATTCCTCTTTCCTCGAGTGGGTTGCGATTAGTACAATGACAGGACACCATACAGGCCGTTATCGAGGTAGAGAGAGCTGTGCCTGATTGATACAGGATCCGGGTATCGCTGAGGTGGAGGGGGGTAGAAGTCAAATGCAAACCCTGAGCGCTGGCCGGGAGACGAGTGGGTGGACATCGACTGAAGATTGACGGATGGTCGATGCACTCAATACGCCTAGGCGACAATTCCGTGCAGCACGCGTTCCTGATCAGCCCAAACATAGAGCTGACAATACTGGGGGCAGGTTTTCTCAAGAGCACAGATTCCATGGTTGACCTAAAGCAGAGAATATTGCTGACAAAGTATGGCGCGGGAGGAGGTCCATAAAGAAATTCAAGAGCTGTTGAAAATGGCATAATTAGGAAAGCCAACAATGCGTACAACTTCCCGGTTGCCCAAGCCGAGGAAAGGAGCTTGGCTGAGGTAACCTTGAGCCCTTGACTCAAAAAGTCTCGGAGCCGATTAAATTCGATTGACATGGTGGGTTCCCGTTCGTCAATTGTAGTAACGGTATTTTTCTCAGCTTAGTTCTCGGCCTGAGCCTCCCAAGCGAGCGTTCACTCCAAAACAACCATCAAAGATGCACAGGGTATATTAACGCCCAAAACGAAGTCAGGAACACTTGTACGGCGCTTTATATACATAGCGCAGGTAAAAATAACTTTCTGGAAAATTTGACGCGTTCTGGATGCGCCTTGGCAACTGGCATTCGGCCAATACTGGGTCATGATTGGCTACTGGGTTCAGACTTTCGACCAATCCGATATCGACTTGATGCCAGACCGCCAAGCGTCCCGAATTTTTGGCCAATCTTGCGTGGGATGGACTTCTCGTCCGTAGCACCACCTGACTGCGAGCGGTAAAGAGGGGTCCGTGTGGAGTTCCGCCTGACAACAGCTGACTGATTTTTAGCACTCATTTGGGTGATCAGCTTGCACTGGACCCGGTACGCATACACAACGGCAAAGAGTCGCTTTGGCTGTGCGTTGACCGCAGACTATTTTTATACAAGCATGCTTATTATTAAAAGTAAGCATCTACTCCATCAGACCATTATAATGCAAAGATCTTTGTGCTCTATCCACAGCTGAACCTACTCTTCAAGACCCTATCGCGAGTGTCCTACAGTGAAAGGAGAACAAACAGAAAAGCTCAAGAGTCTTTAGAATTCCCAAACTACAAAAACAACAATAGTAGAGCGAGATTGTGAGCAAACAGCGCAAACAAGACCTACTGCGGTACGATTGCAAATACGGGACAAGTAAAATACCATTTTCATCTTCCTTCGGAGCCGTGAGATGATGTGTGGCCATCAGATGCCGAGCCATATGTCGCGTTTGACGATTGTGATCCCCCCCTTCCGAATGCGTAGCACACAGAGGACAAATAACCTCAGGGCCACCAGTTTCCTCTCCTGGGTGCTTTTGAAAGACATGACGCGAAAATGATGTCTCAGTGAACCCCAACTGACCGCAAAGGGGGCAGGTGAAACTGTATGCCATGTATTCGGACGACGGCTGAAACGGCAAAAAGGTAGTCAGTGGCTAATTGGGTATGTTCATCCTGTACTGAGCAGCTTTATGGCCTATTGCAACGACTTTCATTCTTTTCGATTACGAGATCCTTCAACAAACGCGCTTGCGCATCAAACTCCAATATCTTCCCCTGGGGGCTGTGAAAATTCCCAACTCAAAACGTCTGCTTCTTGAGTTGTTGAAGTGATTCTCGAATTCGCCTGGAACGCTACGATAATGTATGCTGTATTGACAATCCTAATCAGATATAAGGTGTCCTAACACAGTTCGGTAGACAGACACCCTTGGACAACCTTCAATGTTTGTGTGCTCACAGATCATACACTGCAGCGCTTTCTAATTAACCAAGGACAGTGCGACACCGTGCCAAAGCAGTTGTCACAACACCCACTGACTGGATCACACAGTGAGTCCGGAGTTAACAGGTACACTAAGATGGATTGGTGAATACTCGCGCAAGACAGACAAAACCACAAGCAGTTTGAGTCGAACTGCATACTGGATATCCTATAACCTTGGAGAACTAACGAGTGATTAGACCTAAGGATGAACACAAGGGTACATCGTCGACTAGGCGAATAAGGTCCGAACAACCAAAGTGCACGCAAAGGATACTTTGGCATGCGGTTGTACCGTCAATACCTCACTGTGAAAAAACGTCACTAGAGAATAGCGAGACGTTTGCTTGCTTGACGCACTTGTTTAAGTGGTAGATGGAAACCGTCTTCCGCGCTTTCCGGATCGAAATAATGGAATTTTAGACATACTCGACAATTTATTACTAATATACGTACGATGGAATTTTCGTTTTCAAATCAGAAAATACTTCAGATATTGAATACACTGTCATGCCAGTCACTTGCATCACTGCGAACTACTAATTTTTGTGGTATAACTAACCATTATTTTTTCCACACTGTGTATGTCCTCACTTGTGGTCAGGTGACCATGACCGGCCATGAAACGACCCGTTAGCTGATAGTTGACGGCTCAATTACCACGAAACAACCTCTTTTTGTGTGGGTATCTAATAGTGATTTCAGCAAATGCTACCCATAAATGGTGGCAAAACAGGCATCAATTAGTCGGATGTTGTATGGTCAAAGATAACCGCAGAATGACCAGGAGTGCAGAAAACTCGTGACATAACGGTTCAACAGCTACGAAATGGACCATTGATGTTTAACCTTGTTCTAAGAAGTAATTTAGAATAGGTCGAGGTTGTAGGGGTGCGTCGTGGGTAGTGCAGGGAGATAAGTAATTCTCCATAAAAGTGTGTATCGCAAGTAACGACTTTCTCTAGCTTTTCAAGGTGTCCACCACCTGACTGAGTTGGTTGGCTCGTGTCGTCCGAAATTAAAAGTGAAATATGAAGTAGGAGAATATCATTTAATGGGTGGGTGCTTCCTCAGCGAGCGTCTACTACAACGCGCCGCGAAAGGACCGGTTGAATATCATCATTAACAAATTTGAAACCGCCAGCGCCCTGATGCCCTGAAGTTCTAAACGGGTAAACAGAAATAGCTGCCTTAGAGATCGTCACTCTCATGGTGTGCACAGTACTGCAAGATGCCAGAAAAATGTGCATTTCGAGAGTGAAGTTTTAATGACCTAAGGTTCCCGAAATTCAACCCATTTGAAACGAGCCAGCCAACAGTGAGACAAAACCAAACGAGTACCCTGGGATCAACGGTGGGTTCTGGAGGCATCCCATATGAAATTCGATGGTGTGCCTAATCAACTTCTCCAGACATCGGGCACACAGTCCATACGCGCATCAGTGCAGCTCATACTGACACGTTGGGTGACTTATCTTCTCCAGGGTGGAGTGCAGTCGCTCAGGTAGGTTACCTTATTACTCCTTCGATTGTCTATTTTGAAAGATAACCCTATGTCTGACGCTTATGTAGCCAGTTCTTAAGATTACTTTGAACATTTTGTACAGGCGTGTTGCAGCTACCCTCTTCCTGGTGCAACGTTCGGCGTGAGCCCCCGGATTGCTCGATAGCCAAACTCTATCCTGTGACCTTTTGAAGAATGTCTGTAACTGGAATTTTTCGGAACATTGTGCTAGATTTTCGCAATCGTTTTCATACGGCCCAACTAATCTTGAACGAGACCGAAGAAATAAAACTCCAAAGCTCAGCGAGATACATCTGCCGGATAATTAAGCCTGGTTTGCCTACGAAGCCCGACCTAAAGCTATCACTGGTTGTCGTGGTCGCCCTTATGTACTGCAACAATCCTGCGAGCTACAACTGGATTGAACACAGTTCCCATACGTTCACCTCTGCCAGAAGACCAAACGGAGACCAGCAGGACGAAGAACAGCGAGTGCGAGTATTCCGAGATTTCCTAATACGAGGAGGCCTGGAGGTAAAGTTGTACTGTCATCTGCGATCGGAGTGTGAAGGCAGTAAGGAGTTTTCTTCAGACGTCTAGCATATCCACAGTTATGCAAACAGCGATGCTGACTTCCCCCGAGGAAGAACAGGTTAGAAAACGTCAGCCCTAAAATCCGCCTAGCGGTTGACCGTGTCCGCCGGCGCATTATTCAATACGGTGGAAAAAATACTATTAAAATCAGAGTCTGATACTGTTGTGCGCGGCCGCGTTAAGAGTGAGGTAGTAATGCCTTACTCCCTGCATCCACGGGTCAGGCTGTCCTCTGTTGCCAAGTGCATCAGACTATTGAGTGATTGGCTCCGGGAAAGTTCCACTAAGTAAATCCTAACAACCGCTGCCTCGCGGTTCAGACTTTTGGGTCAGAGGCTCGGGGTAGGGTCCTCAAACAAAGCCCTACATTCTCCCACTGCCTAGTGGATCGGACTTTCGAATCAACGGCTCAAGGTGGGGTACATTAACCAAGTCTCCTTTGAATAAGCGGAAGTAATCATCCGACCTTACAGCTCCTCGTTCACTGGCTCCTCTCAACACGTCCCCCACTCAAGTCTTTCCGGTTCGTTTGGCTGTCAATCACCCAACTGTTACTCCGTATCGAACGTTCTGCCCAGTAAAATAAATCAAAATAAACCCTCATTAAATTCAAGGGATCTGTTCCACATTGCGGCTTTCAATGTCCGTACTCTTTCTCAAACTGGGGAACAGGTAGTTTTTGTTTAGACTTTGTTCCCTCCCTCTATCGATGCATGTTGTGTCTTCGAAACATGCGCACAAGATCCCTGTTCGGTCATACATCTCGAGCTACTTGGGACAAACTATCTGATCCACACTGAAGCCTTCAAATTAAACATCAGGCATGCCTTGCCGAAATCTTAATCCTCCTATCTCTCTGATGTACGTTGTCTTAGAAACACACACAAAACCGGTTATGCGCTTCAAATTGCTCAGGACGAGCTCGCATGTTTCACACTTGAAATATTCGATATCAAAGGTGATATCAAAGGTGCGCGAGTTGCACTAAATCTTAGAGGTGAAGGCGACTTATTGGACTGGATCCTAGTAAACGGTCGTCTTTGTACTGTGAGGTGGTCCGGCTCAATTAAGATCAATGTAATCCGATGCGGTAAACAATGGTTATTTGTCGTATCGGTATACACCCCGACAGACGGCAGTAATGAGACTGAAAATGACAGGGTTTATCGAGATCAGTCACGACTACTTCGGTCAGCAAGAAGAATGAGTGGTGTGAATGCCCAAGTTAGCCGACCAATTGCAGAAGAAGCACATGATCAGTGTACTGAGAATGGAGCTGGGACTACTTCAGTGAGTTGATCATCGCTTGTTCTTGGCCAGTACGAACTTGAAACACAAACGTTCATATTGAGTTAATTGGAGGCCACCACCCGCAAGAAAGTCATGGACTCAATTGGACCAAGTGGCTATCAGTAACCGACAGTCTCAATTAAAGATTGCCGTTCCTTCTGGGGGTATGTAACTTGCCTCTGATCATGCCACTGTGCGAGCCCATTTATCACTTCGCTTTCCATCAGCACTACGTGTGCCAATGCAGAGCAGTTCCATGCATCAACTTCGACAAGTTTCAGTCGCTCAAATGTATCCAGCTGAACTGGTTAAGAAGCTGCTGGAAACGTAGTCATATGGTGACAAACATTGCTTGGAGGTTGAATGAAAGCGAGCGAAAGAGGCTTCGCTCTCCGATTTTAGAACCGTTTGTCCAAGCGATCCAATTCGACTAAATCAACCGTGGATATAGTACCTGTTGGTCGTCGTCTTGAGCGACGGCCGAATACTCTTAAGAACAGTTCAGCTGGTCTCGTTCAACACAACCGCTGCAAGAACCCAACGGGCCTGAATGGAACATTGACAACAGCCCAAAAAAAACCGAACCTTAGTAATAGATATCAGGCCTCAAGCACGACAAAGCGAATGGCACAGATGGCCTACACCCCGTACTCTTTAAAGGTGACGAGATCCAGCTGAGAAGTCTGATAACCATACTGCAGAAGATTTGGAACGAAAACAGAATGCCGGTTGAATGGAGAATCCCGGCAACCAACCCAGGCTTCAAAAAAGGACGCAAGAATATCATGCAAAAATCATCGCGGCATCAGCCTGGTATCCGTCGCATCCAGGGAGCTCTCTGGCATTGTTTTGCGCAGATTGATTATCGAGAGAGACAGATTCATGAAAACCAAGGTCGGCTTCACCTTGGTCGAGGATGCATTGACCATAGCTTTGGGACAAGTTCTGACCAACGTCCCACGTTGGTCACTTTTCTTGATTCGAAGGCTGCTTTTGACTCTGTCGATCGTCAGAAACTTAGGCGGTGTCTGGCTATCAAGTGTTCATTCCAAATTTATATCCCTGAGCACTCCTGCAGACTGTATACGTCTAGATTTCACCTGAGTTCACCAAGTCCAGTGGTGTAAGACAAGGCTGCCCTCCCTCACCTTTCCTCTTCAACTTTGCCATTGATGTGCTGCTCGAAGCTTATCTGCCCGCTTCTGAAATATCGGGAGCCGAAATGCTCCCGAGATGTTCCCTTACAGACACTGAGTATGCAGACGACATTGCTCTCCTTGGTTCAGATCTTTCCAAAACTCAAAAAATTTTAAGTAACCTAAATAACTCTGCCGCATGGTTTAGCATGCGCTTTACACTGCAAAAAACGAAGTGCTGCTACAAGATTGTGTGACCAGACCAAACCCTCATTCTTGCAGACGAGTCAAATTTGTTTACCTGGGCACTATCCAGTGGACTGGCTGGAAATGAGATTACTTCTCAGATCAGATCGGCCACAGCAGCTTCCGCCAACCTGACACATACGGCGCCGATGTGACGCCGATTTGTCTGTCAAGGTCAGAGTGTACACTACGGTAGTGCGATCTATACTGCTTTATGGATCAGAAACAGGACCTCTACGCGCAGATGACATTCGAGAGATGTCAGTGGTTGAACACCAGCGCCTCCAAAGCACTTTTTGTGTCTGATGGTAACATCAGATTAGTAATGCTGACGATCCCGAGGAGAAAGAATTCTCCTGCAATACGTGAATTACCCACGCTTCATAGGTTACGGCTAGTCAGGATATGAATTCCGCATGCCAGAAGGCCGTCTACCTCACAGAGCGCATTTTGCCCGGCCCTGTGCTGAGTGGAAGCGACCGGAAAATGGACAGTTTGTGCCTGGAAACAAAGTATGAAAACGCTGACCAGAAAACCTAGTCGGGTCGACAAGTGCCGTTTCCCTGGATATGGACCCGGGGACACAACTCACCAATGGTTAATGATACTGACAGAAATGGCTTAATCACTCAGTCAGTGGTACTCGTGCATCAAAGGTATCTGTTCCAATGGATAGCTACCCACTTCCCAAACTAACCAAACATGCTACCGCCACGACGGCTTGATTGTACTTCTCGCTCTCGCACTTACCAGAAACAGTGGCAGAAACAAATGTACCCGTGGAACGCGGTTTATAGCTGATAAATTGAAATTCGAATATTGATTCGAAGCCTCAGAGTTGTCATCTGTTGGAGCGCGCGCTGACACAACAAACAAACACCGTTTATTACGTCAACACGCATTCATCCTTATTGAACAGCCAACCTAACAGCGCATTCAGCCCTATGGCTAAGCACGACCTCCACACCGTAGATACCCCGAGACATTGCGTTATGATCATAAGATAACTGATGAGTGAAGTGCGAGAAGTCTCGTTCGTCCCGAGTGACTCGAGATGTATGACCGAACAGGGATCTTGTGCGCATGTTTCGAAGACACAACATGCATCGATAGAGGGAGGGAACAAAGTCTAAACAAAAACTACCTGTTCCCCAGTTTGAGAAAGAGTACGGACATTGAAAGCCGCAATGTGGAACAGATCCCTTGAATTTAATGAGGGTTTATTTTGATTTATTTTACTGGGCAGAACGTTCGATACGGAGTAACAGTTGGGTGATTGACAGCCAAACGAACCGGAAAGACTTGAGTGGGGGACGTGTTGAGAGGAGCCAGTGAACGAGGAGCTGTAAGGTCGGATGATTACTTCCGCTTATTCAAAGGAGACTTGGTTAATGTACCCCACCTTGAGCCGTTGATTCGAAAGTCCGATCCACTAGGCAGTGGGAGAATGTAGGGCTTTGTTTGAGGACCCTACCCCGAGCCTCTGACCCAAAAGTCTGAACCGCGAGGCAGCGGTTGTTAGGATTTACTTAGTGGAACTTTCCCGGAGCCAATCACTCAATAGTCTGATGCACTTGGCAACAGAGGACAGCCTGACCCGTGGATGCAGGGAGTAAGGCATTACTACCTCACTCTTAACGCGGCCGCGCACAACAGTATCAGACTCTGATTTTAATAGTATTTTTTCCACCGTATTGAATAATGCGCCGGCGGACACGGTCAACCGCTAGGCGGATTTTAGGGCTGACGTTTTCTAACCTGTTCTTCCTCGGGGGAAGTCAGCATCGCTGTTTGCATAACTGTGGATATGCTAGACGTCTGAAGAAAACTCCTTACTGCCTTCACACTCCGATCGCAGATGACAGTACTTTATCTCCAGGGTTTCTCGTAATAAGAACTCTCGGACTACAGTACTTCGGAAGCTTACAATTGACAAGTTTCCTGAATAAATTTCATATTGTCCAGTTTCATATTGAAAGTCAATATATCCAGTGGAATCTCGCTAGCTATCCGTTTATAGCCCAGTTATCTTGAACTCGTCAGGAGGGCGTAGTCACTGGAAGGCGACACAATCAACGACTTCTCAGCATTTTGGTTGAGATCCCAGTTTGAAGTTCATATGCACGTTTGTCTGCTTCACCAGTCTTCCCACGCAATTTCATTCGGAAACAAAGGTCACTTCATTGACACGTAAGTAGTGGACCCTAGGGACTGCATGTGCTACACATTATGCGAAAGATATCAGTTGGTGACGGCGACGAACTCTATTCAGGCTATAGCTTCACCTCTTACTCGATGAGCAGCTCCGCCTGCATCTTAAGAATTCTGATCATGCGAAGGAATTTGAAAGGAAAAAAAGCGTTCAGCTGTAGCACCCTTCCGGTGCCTAGCTGCCATGCCACCCGAAGGAACCACGAGGGCTGGGATACTGCCAGGTTGCCCAAGCCTAGACAGGGGAAGTCGAGTGGCGGAGGTCGGATTCGAACCACGGACCTTCCGGTCTGTAAATTCGCGCTCTAACCACTTGGGCCGTCTACTTGAAAGTAGAAACTCTACCAAAGAGATGGCCATTTTGCTAGTCTAGTGTCAGCTTCCTTCGGCTAAGACTACCTGAGGAGCCCCAAATGTGAAACCGGTAGTGGGTTGTCTGGCATGATCACCAATCGTCGCATACTATTTCAACGAAACAAGCTTCATCATACGTCCCCGCAGCGGAATCTCGGAGCACTCTTAGAGCTGCATATAATGGAAGACAATATCAGTGTGCTACTGACCACAACAGAATTGATGGATTCGCCAGCACCACGAATTTCACCATTCACGCTTAAAATTAGAAACTCGAACTAATTACTGTTCAAGTTTCTGTATTGATAATCTCAGCCTCCGGAAATTACATCTACCTAATGACTTCCTCTGTCACACTACCATTAGAGCTTCTGCAAATTCCACAACATCCGGTGTTACTCGAAATCTGAGGCGTGTTCAAAGAATGTATGTCCCGCGGCATGACAATGGACATGCCGAAGGACCGGATGACCGTAGTCAGTTGATTGATTGATTGATGATCATGATGAGTGACGATCATGATGATGATGATGATGATGATGATGATGATGATGATGATGATGATGATGATGATGATGGCGATCATGATTATCATGATGATAAAACGGGATACAAAGCCAAAAATAACCTACCTCTCCATGAAAAAACAAGTCATGGTCCGCTCTGGGTATGAGACACTGCATTGGATGAGAACTGGAGTGCTTTTCAGTTGCTTGACGGTTGTCGAAACAATCGCCACAAAGGTCATAGTTCCGACAGACGAGGCATTTATATCGCCTCAGGCCAAACTCCTTCTGTTGGCAGACATCACACGTAACACCTTAAATGAATGAAGTGAACTGTATGAAGACAGCTGGAGATTTTCGATGAACATTCTGCATAGAGACTGGTGGGAATTGTCAATCACTCAAAATTGCATAGGAAATTGTGACTTAGTATGCATGTTCCCAAATGCCTAGAATTCGCGTCACGTTAACCCAAATGTGAACGGTAATAGGATGTGAAAAAAAAGATCGTAGCAACAAGCCGGCAACATGACCGGTATGGCCCTGTTGTACAATCTCAACAGTAGAGTTCCAGTGCCCACCCAACACCAAGTACCCTGAGCACCTTGGAAGAAGCGCATTCAGTGAACTCAATGGAAGCATAAACATGTAGCATACCTAATATCCTACACTAAAAAGAGGTCAGCTCACAAAATGAAAATCAAATCCCCAGAGTCTCGCGTTTGGACCATAGAAGATGACTTTCAGATTAAGTGCCTTCAGACAAATAATCAGTAATTGAGTTCAAATAATCACCCATAAATCATGTAGTCAAGTTGTGTTGGATCCAGCTACTACAGTCTCAATCACAGAAAACAACGGGGACAGGTAGACTAAGCATTGGATACGATGACATCATCGGTTAGTTGACGTAGAATCATTCCGAAGAGCCGAAAATCTGAGTCGAATATTGAAGATCATGGCTATGATGCAGAAGCACGATAAAACCAACCGGTTAATGCGCAGACCTACTGACCAGAAGGTCCTTGATTCGGTTCGAACAACCTGGCACGATTTCAACTCCCGTACTTCATTCTTGTAAAATGGAAATTGGCACCGAAATGAGTTGCAGCTAAACAATTACTATTTATTGTTTAGGAGGGTCATTGATTCATGACTGAGCTATGGCTGTCAGTGACATTAACCTTTGATGGATTGAGCCCCAGGCTCCCCATCTAGTGGGTAGCAGTTGTCAACCGGTTAGCGCTTTTCAGTCCTCGTTGCAAGGTCATAGATTGTTCATGTATCACTTTCTGTCCGTAGGCCAACCGTCCCTAAGAACCGAACATCACATCATTTGTACGGATGTGTCACGTGCAGAATACGGACCAAACGAAGGCATGCTCTGATTGGTCAGAATGCCAGCCAATCCGGGTCGAGCATCTTTAACTCGACGCTTCTCACCCCCTCACGGAGGTTCTGGCACGACCTTTTGGAACACTGACTCCCCTATAGATACATATGTAATTTTTCTTTTTCTCCATAGAGTGCTGCTACCGTGCCTATTGATATACCATAGTTAGAGGACCAGGGAGGCAAGGGACCGATACAGAGTTGCACCACCGTTCAGCAAGACAACTGACGACAACCCGAACGCACGATGTCCATTTCGGCAGAGCAACTCCAATCAATTTTACAGCAACAACAGAAGCAGTTCGAAGAAGCTCAACTGAGGCTTGTTAAATCACTGATGCGAAGTATGTCGGTGAATGCGACTAAAACGGTTAAGCCTCCGTCTTCTTCCACAGACGCTGTCGCCAGCTCGATTACTGAATTCAATTTCAATGCTGAATCTCGACGAACGTCTGAGAGTTGGTTCAAGAAATATGAAGATATGTTCCAAACCGACTTTGCTCAGTTTGATTACGCATGGAAAGTCCTACTGTTGCTGCAGAAACTGGGGTCAGCTGAACACGATCGGTTCACAAAGTTCATACTCCCCAAACTCCATCGTGACCTGGGTTTCGCAGATGCTGTCAAAATCCAGGCCAAAATATTCGGTGAGCAAAGTTCCTTGTTCAATATTCGTCATCCGTGTCTCAAGATTATCAAAAGGGACACTGAGCATTTCATCACCTATGCCGGTGTCGTCAACAGAGAATGCGAGTGCTTTCAGCTCAGCTCCATGACCGAAGATCAATTCAATTGTCTCATCTTCGTGGCTGGCCTTCAATCGCCACACGATGCAGATATTCGGACCCGGCTACTGAATCGAATTGAACAGGATCCAGAGTTGACGCTTCAGAAGCTTACCACCAAGTGCCAGCATCTTATCAATCTCAAGCCTGATACTGCAATGATTGGACATTCCAAATTCTCTCAGCCTGATATGGTACGCAAAGTAAATCCTGCATGCAGCCTGCGACGTTCCATCCGCGGTTCAAGCCCTTCAGTTTAGTCGCAGATTCATGCAGATCGTTCTGCTGCTATATGGGAAGTTAAGAAAGGGGGCAGGAGAGACGCCACATCAGTCACACAGAGACCAGACATTAACTTGAGGATATGGGGAATGGTCTTTACGGTAGACGCAGGGTCGAATATGGCAAACACGAGGCAAAAATAAGATCACAAGTAAGGCCACGTCGACGAAGTCAACTTCAGACGAGTCTGAAGCTCCGTAAGGGGACAACTTCGCATTGGGCACCGGACAGCCTTGACATATCTCCCAAGTGGAGGGTACCAGATCCCAGATCAGTATGCTCGCAGCCCCATGGACGGACAGACAGCACCTCCATGAGTCGTCAGAGTGGAGTCCGAAGCACCAGTCGGTTGAACAGCCTTTTCAAGGGGGAGGGGTACGGAGGCCAGCGATCCCTAATAACCGAACGTCATACCATTTGGACGGATGTGTCACGTGCAGAATACAAACCAAACGAAGGCATGCTCTGATTGGTCAGAATGCCAGCCAATCCGGGTCGAGCATCTCTAACGCTTCTCGCCCCTTCACGGAGATTCTGGCACGACCTTGTGGAACACTCTGTGACTACCCTATAAATACAAATATAATAATTTTCCTTTTTCTCCATAGAGGGCTACCGTGCCTTTTGACATACCATAGCTGGAGGGCCAGGAAGCCAAGGGACCGATACAGAGCTGCACTATCGTTCAGCAAGTCACAACACACTGCCAGCGATTCCGTTCGACGTAGCCGGTGAAGCCAATGATGTAGTCGCTCCGTAAGTACTGTTGAGTTGAAGTTGTTGCTCAAACATCACTTTGAGCTTATCTGCTTCCATATTGCGTCGCCAAACATGTTACGGTTTCCATGACACAGCGAGTAACGATATGTGCGGAGTGTGACGATATGCTATCCCCAGCTACGTTGCCTGATCTCGACTCCTAGTATAGCGGAACAGTAAGAAGACGAAGCCTTGGACACAAGTATCATTCTCCGAACAACAAGCGATCAACAGGCAATGGCGGAAAATGACAAAGCATATATATGTATCCACAGTTTGACCTTGAAAATGCCGCAGGTTCCTCAGCACACACAAGGATAGTTTCAGGGGGTATTGATATGCCCAATACTCATCATTTGTGGAAAGAAATAAAGAACACAATCGAAACCTCTAGCGTATTTTCGCCGAAGTACAAGAGTACGACCTCCAGTTAAAACATGATAAAGGCACAATTTCCACCACTAAACTAAGACTCCTTAGATATCAAATTACTGAAGGAATCATGCAACCAGACCCTGAAGGTCTTGCAAGAACTGCCCGTTCCGAGAGACATTAAGTCTCAACAAAGTGTGGCTGGCTTGATCGCGTACTGCTTTCGTTGGATAAGCCATTCCTGCGAGAAGACCTACCTAATCGCTCACAATGCAACCTTTTCTGTCCCTAAATCTCTTGTGTTTGAAAGTTTCAAAAAAGAATTAGTGGATGCCGCCGTTATTCCTATCGATTCAAGAATACCTTTGATACTCGAAACTGACGCATCTGATGTTGCGATTTCGGAAACACTCCATCAAGGGGACAGATTGGTCACATTTTTCTCACGTACAATGTTTGTCAGCGAAAAGCATCATTCGGGTATTGAGAACGAAACCTGCGCGTTTGTCGAAGCAGAGCGCAAATGGACGCATTACCTATTCGGGACCCATTTCGAAACTGTAACCGATCAGCGCTCCGTTGCGTTTACGCATTCAACATAACAAAAAGGAAAAATAAAGTGACAAAATCCAACGATGGCATATGGAGTTATCGCCTGACGTAACCAACAGACCAGGCATAGAAAGCAAAGAAGTTGACATGCTCTCTCGGGGAGTTTTTGTGAACACTCCACCTCAGCTGGATTTAAAACGCTTACGCGAAACTGCGTGCCATCCTGGGACAACATGCATGATGCTTTTCGTTCATGTCAAGGATCTCCCGATCTCCCTAAAGGAGATCCGACCTGTTATTAAGCAGTGTCATTTTTGCGCGGAATGGCGCAAGATGGGGCAAATGGTTTAAGTTGAGAAAGCACGAATTCATTGACCGGAAGGTCCGTAGTTCGAACCTGACCTCTGCCTCTCGACTACCCCTGTCTAGGCTTGGGCAACCCAGCAGTATCACAGCCCTCTTGCTTCCATCGCGTGGCATGGCAGCAGGGCACCATAAGGGTGTTACAGCTGAACACTCACTAAAGCCACACAAACGTTTGAACGTCGAAGCATTGACTTCAAAGGACCATTGTCTTAGACGACGCGAAGCAAATAACTACTGACGGTCGTGGACGAATATTCCCGTTTTCCGTTCGCCTATGCCGTTCCGGGTATCAGTTCATCTACGGTGATATCAAGCCTTGTGCCGCTCTCCGCTAAATTTAACCTGCCCAGATTCATGCATTCGGATCACAGTTCATCATTCACTTCGAATGAGATTAGACGATTTCTTCATGGAAAACGCGTTGTCACCAGTCGGTCCACTCCTTACAACCCAAGGGGGGACAATCAAGCGGAACGATTAAATGGGAATTTGTAGAAGGCTATTACGCTTTCATGACGATCAAAAGATCTTCAAATCAGTCATTAAGAAACCTCCATCCGATCCGATCTTGTTGTGCACCGCCAACAATGCCACGCCACACAAGCGAATGTTTCCTCACAATGAAAAAATCCGCGGCTGGTACATCGTTGCCAAAGAGGTTGCTTACGCCAGGACGGTTTCTCATGAGGCGAAATACACGACCTTCGAATTATGACTACGCAGTCGAAAAGTTTGAACTCAATCATCAATCAATCATCCATCATCATCATCGACGGCTTCACTGCCGTACAACCATGATTTATTTG